CTAAGATATTTTATTGCTGATTATTCTAAATGATTTTCAGAATAAGCATATGGCCCATGTCATAATTGAAGTCAACAAACATTAAGATCTGTTTAAAAATAATTATATGCCAGCAAACTTACATGGATGACATTTAGTTACTTGTTAAATATAGGATTCTAATTAGAATCTAGTTAGACATATTTGTTTAAAGAAAGGAATATGTTTTGGTTTTGCTATGTTTCTTTTAGTTCTTAAGTTTCTTTAGTTCTTTCTTTTAGTTCTTAAGAAAGGACTATGTTTTGGTTTTACTATGTTTCTTTTAGTTCTTTAGTTCTTTTAGTTTCTTTAAGCTTTGTCTTCTGCTTTTAAGTCCTAGTAAAAGAGTTTCAATGGGGGAAAAAATCTTCATTTATCTTTGTCTCTCTGCCTCTGTCTTATGTATACACTTACATACAGTTACTATATATACACACAACACACACATATGCATGTATATGAACCTAAATAAAAATAAGTTTTAGCATTACTACCTTTGGAAATGTCTGTGTTTTTACTTGATTTTTTTTTTTTAAATCCTGTGAGAAAAGCACCTTCTAGGGGATATCATTATACATGCTTTGTATTTATTGAGGTTGAGTTTTTTCTATGAGCTGGATTAGCAATAATAAAGAAGGAGGGCATAAAAGGAGAAAACTATATGAAAAAATGATATTTTAAACTCTTTCATGTATCTAAATTACCTAGACAGTCTTTTATCTGATGGGATATTTCTGTTTTGTTTAAGGAGAGAGTTATTTCTTGAGTTATTTACTATATTATATTAAATAAATGATAAAAATATAGTAGGTTAACAATATACTAGATTAAACTTGAATATAGGTTATTATACTTTTTTTTCTCAGCATAATCCCATAAATGCTGCTTTACCCATTTCTAGTTACTCCCTTTTGGTTATTTGTAAACTTGTATCCTGTTAGCCTTCTAGAATGCTAATAATTTTATTGTCAAAATGAGTGATCCTGACAATTTAAACTTTGAGTTTTCAATAAATTATAGCCTGCAAAGAGAATAGAAACAAGTTATCAAATTTTGTCTTAAACTGTAGATGACTTTGACAACAATCTTTCAGTGTAAGTATTCAGGAAACCTGGTAAAATATGCCATCAATTTTGATGCAAATTATGCTCAGGCATCTTTGTGATGTGGTAAGTATATGGTAGATGATTAATCATGCTAAATAAAAGTAGATGTATTGATGTGGAAAACAATTTTTAATTTTTACTTCTCTGAGCTATTAGGTTTACATTTTTATCTATCTCTAGATCTTGAGGATCATGAATGGCATGTTAAGGCATGAAGCGCGTGTCCGTGTTATATGCTAATAACCAGAATAGTATAAACACGATTTATACTGGCTAGGCAATTCAGCATTTCTCTACCACATTATCTAGTGATCCCAGAAATATCCCTAAGTTCTTTCAGACTCATGAATTAAGGTAGAGGTCAAATTTTAATTTTGTGAATTTCTTTTTTTGTCTATAATTTTATGATGGTGATAAATATGTCTCTAAAATATTGGGATATGGTAATTTTCTGAATTACAATAGGAAGGGTGCTCTGTTGCAGATGCCTGAGAAATGTATCTAGACATGTAGCCAAAATGTCTTCCTGTATACTTAAGATTTCTTTACATTCTATTACTGAAGTTGAAAAATACATGTAAATAGCGTATTCTGTTGATAGTGGATCATTGTTTTATATTTATATAAAATAGTTTTTAAAGTTTTAAAGAACCTAAAAATTTCAAAATATTGCACAGAAATCTTGGAGTATAACTTATGATCCAAGAAGACATGCAAGAAATATTCTGTCATTTTAAACATCTGGCACATCATCAGTTATCAAATTAAATAGTGAGACTCTATTAATTGATAAGCATCTAAATGGTTAGTTTTCCTGGCATTTTTTTATAAGTTCTTTTTTAAGATTTTATTTTCTTATTTGAGAAAGAGAAAGAATGGGAGAAAGAGAGAGAATGAGAAGGGGGAGGGTCAGAGGGAGAAGCAGACTCCCTGCTGAGCAGGGACTCTGATGCAGGACTCAATCCTGGGACTCCAGGATCATGACCTGAGCCTAAGGAAGTCGTTTAACCAACTGAGCCACCCAGGCACCCTTATAAGATTTTTTTTTTAATTTCTTTTCAGTGTAATAGAATTCATTATTTATGTACCACACCCAGTGTTCCATGCAATACATGCCCTCCATAATACCCACCACCTGGCTCCCCCAACCTCCCACCCCCTGCCCCTTCAAAACCCTCAGGTTGTTTTTCATAGTCCATAGTCTCTCATGTTTCATCTCCCCTTCCAATTTCCCTCAACTCCCTTCTCCTCTCCATCTCCCTATGTCCTCCATGTTATTTGTTATGCGCCACAAATAAGTGAAACCCTATGATAATTGACTCTTTCTGCTTGACTTATTTCACTCAGCATAATCTCTTCCAGTCCCGTCCATGTTGCTAAAAAAGTTGGGTATTCATCCTTTCTGATGGAGGCATAATACTCCATAGTGTATATGGACCACATCTTCCTTATCCATTTGTCCGATGAAAGGTATCTTGGTTCTTTCCACAGTTTGGTGACTGTGGCCATTGCCGCTATAAACACTGGGGTACAGATGACCCTTCTTTTCACTACATCTGTATGTTTCAGGTAAATACCCAGTAGTGCAATTGCAGGGTCATAGGGAATCTCTATTTTTAATTTCTTGAGGAATCTCCACACTGTTCTCCAAAGTGGCTGCACCAACTTGCATTCCCACCAACAGTGTAAGAGGGTTACCCTTTGTCCACATCGTCTCCAACACACGTTGTTTCCTGTCTTGCTAATTTTGGCCATTCTAATTGGTGTAAGGTGGTATCTCAATGTGGTTTTAATTTGAATTTCCCTGATGGCTAGTGATGAACATTTTTTCATGTGTCTGATAGCCATTTGTATGTCTGTTCATGTCTTCTGCCCATTTTTCTGACATGATTATCTGTTTTGTGTGTGTTGAGTTTAAGAAGTTCTTTGTAGATCCTGGATATCAACCTTTTGTCTGTACTATCATTTGTGAATATCTTCTCCCATTCTGTGGGTTGCCTCTTTGTTTTGTTGACTGTTTCCTTTGCTGTGCAGAAGCTTTTGATCTTGATGAAGCCCCAGAAGTTCATTTTTGCTTTTGTTTCCTTTGCCTTTGGAGACATATCTTGAAAGAAGTTGTTGTGGTTGATATCGAAGAGGTTACTACCTATGTTCTCCTCTAGGATTCTGGTGAATTCCTGTCTCACACTGAGGTCCTTTATCCATTTCGAGTTTATCTTTGTGTATGGTGTAAGAGAATGGTCAATTTTCATTCTTCTACATATAGCTGCCCAAATATCCCAGCACCATTTATTGAAGAGACTGTCTTTTTTTCCACTGTATATTTTTTCCTGCTTTGCCGAAGATTATTTGACCATAGAGTTGAGGGTCCTTATAAGATTTTTAAAAATACAGTGTCTCATTGATCCTGAGCTAAGTCTTTTTGTTATTTCTAACGTAAGATAACTCTAACCTCTATTGCCAACAACTAGGTGGGTCACTGTTCTGTTACGTGTTACTGAAGATCATAGTAAGACAATTGTATTTCTGGAACATTTAAGAATTTAGAAAGGAGAGATGATCCCCTTTCTCATATGATTTATAAACAATACTGAAAGAGCAAAAACCATACTAAATGATTAAAGAATAATGAAGATAATATACAAGATAATGGGATATATGTCATTTCTTACTAATTATATATGTATTCATCTATAGACTTTTGTATTAATGAAAGTTTGCTTTTATTGGCGGTAAATATCTGTTAGCAGGATTGCTAGATATAATGGTAATCACAGGCAGACCTTTTCCATGTGCGTCACTTTATTGCACTTTGCAGATACTGCATTTTTTACATTGAAGGTTTGTGGCAATCCTGCATCAAGCAAGTCTGTCAGTGCCATTTGTCCAGGTGCTTGGGGCTCCACAAACTGTATCCATATAAGACAGCAACTTAGGCAAATTTTGTGTGTGTTCTAACTTTTGCACTAACCACGCATTCTGTCATCTCTTTCCCTCTCCTCAGGCCTCCCTATTCCCCACAATGTTGAAATTTGGGGCCCCTAGGTGGTTCAGTTGGTTAAGCATTTGACTCTTAGGTTTAGCTCAGGCCATGATCTTAGGGCCATGGGATCAGGCCCTGCACATGGCTTGTGCTCAGCATGGATTCTATCTGAACTTCTCTCTCCCTTTTCCTCTCCTTCTGCCCCCTGCACTCTCTCTCCATCTCTCTCTCTCTCTCAAATAAACAAATAAATAAATAAAACATTTTTAATAATACTAAATTAATAGAAATGATTAAGTTTAGTAAAGAAGGCCTTCCAAAAGTGAGAATGGCCAAGAGCTGAGCTTCTTACAACAGTTAGCCAAAGTTACAAATGCAAAGAAAGATTTCTTAAAGGAAATTAAAAGTGCTACTGCACTGAACACACACATGATGAGCACGAGACAGACTTAACGCTGATGTGGACAAAGTTTTAGTGGTCTGGATAGAAGTCAAAGCAGCCACATTTCCTAAAACCAAAGCCTACTCTGGAATAAGGTCCTAAGTCTCTTTAATTCTGTGAAGGCGGAGAGAGGTGAGGCAGTTTGAAGCTAACAGAGCTTGGTTCATGAGATACTCAGAAAGAAGCCATCTCCAAAATGTAAAGATGCAAGGTGAAGCAGCAAGTGCTGATGTAGAAACGGCAGCAAGTTACCCACATCTAGCCAAGATCATTAATGAAGGTGGCTACAGGAAACAACAGATGGCCAATATAAGTAAAGTGGCATTTTTGGGAAGATGTCATTTAGTGATTTCATAGCTAGAGAGGAGAAGTTAGTGCTTGGCTTCAAAAACTTCAACGGACGGCAGCTAATGCAGCTGGTGACTTTAAGGTGAAGCCAGTGCCCACTTACCTCTCCCAAAATTCTAGTGCCCTTAAAAATTGCTAAATCTAGCAATTTGCTTGTGCTCTGTAAATGGACCGACAAAGCCTGGATGACAGCACATCTGTTTACAACGAGATTACTGAATATTTTAAGTCTACTGTGGAGAACTACTGCTCAGAAAAAACAAAACAAAACAGAAAAAAAAACCTCCTTTGAAAATATTATTGCTTTTTGATTATGCATTAGATCACCCAAAAGCTCTGATGAAGATGTACAGTGAGGTAAGTGTCTCCCTGTCTGCTAACACAACATCCATGCTGTAGCCCATGTGTATCAAGAACTAATTTTGACTTAAATTCTTATTATTTAAGAAACACATTTTGTAAGGCTACACCTGCCATAGATAGGGATTCCTATGACAGACCTGATCTGGGCTAAGTAAATGGAAAACTTTCTGGAAAGGATTCACCATTCTAGATGCCTTGAGAACATTTGTGATTCATGAGAAAAGGTCAAAATATCAATGTGAACAGGAGTGTGGAAGAAACTCCAACCCTCATGGGTGACTGTAAGGGTTTCAGTGGAGGAAGTAATGCAGATATGGTGGAAATAGCAAGAGAACTAGAATTAGAAGTAGAGCCTAAAGATGTGACTGAATTGCTACAATCTCATGATAAAACTTCAATGGGTGAGTAATGGTTTCTTATGGATAAGAAAGAAAATGATATCTTGAGATGGAATGTACTCCTGGTAAAGATGCTATGAAGATCATTGAAATAATAGCAAAGGATTGAGAATATTACATAAACTTAGTTGATAGAGCAGTGGCAGCGTTTGAGAAGATTGACTCCAATTTTGGAAGTTCTATTGTGGGTAAAATGCTATAATACATCAGCACGTGGGACAGAGAAATTGTGAAAGGAAGAGTCAATTGATGTGAAAAGAAGAGTCAATTGATGTGCAAACTTCAATTTTGTCTTAAAGAAACTGCCACAGCCACCCCAGCCTTCAATAACCACCACGCTGATCGGTCACCAGTCATCAGCATCAAGACAAGACCCTCCATCAACCAAAAGATTAGGACTTGCTAAAGCTTGGGTGATGCTTAACATTTTGTTTAAAACCAGTAAGGTATTTTTTATATAAAGGTATGTGCATTGTTTTGTAGACATAATGCTCTTGCACAATTACTAGATTGCAGTATAGTTTAAACATAACTGTTTTATGTATTGGGGAACCGAAATAATTTATTTGACTGCCTCATTGCAATATTTGCTTTATTGCAGTGTCTGGATCCAAACTCCCAATGTCTCTGAGGTATGCCTCATTTGTTTGACTTCACTGGAAATTACAAATATGTTTCCTAGAGTACCATCTTCAAATCCCACCTCCTCCAAAAATTTATCAGTTAGAAATACATTTATTGTGTATCCATGTCAGAACTTGATATTGTCAGTTTTATTCGTTAGTGTTGTTTTTTTCCCCATTCAGCTGGTATATCATGGTTGTAATTTGCATTTATCTAATGATTAGTAATATTGAGCATCTCTTTATTTTATTTAATTCAGTTAGCCAGCAAATAGTACATCGTAAGTTTCAGATGTAGAGTTCAGTGACTGATCAGTTGCATATAACACCTGGTGCAATGAGCATCTCTTGATGTGTTTATTTGTCATCTTTTCACACCCTTTTGATGAAATATCTGTTCATATTTTCTGTACATTCAGCTTTCATTTGCTTATTCATCCTGTATCCTTAAACATTACTAAACTTACCTTTTAGTTCTAGAAGCATTCATTTCTTCTTTTTCTCTTACTGCACCAGCAAAGACACCAACTGTGATGTTCCACAGCAGTGAATAGTATAGGACTTTCTAGCTTTGTTCCTCATCTTAAGGAGAAATTTTTTGAATTGTTATGTATAATATTAGCTGAATATTCTTTTTTTTTTTTGAATATTCTTTATCAGGGGGAGGAAGGTCCCTTGTATAACTAATTCGCTGAAAGTTTTTATCAGGAATTAGTGATAAATTATACTAAATATGGAGATTAGCTCCTATTTCCTAGAGTAAATACCAAGTCTCTGAGTCGCTCTCCCCAGCCTCTCTCTCTCTGTGAGGGGTCGTGTCCCACATCCAGCTGCTGAGACCCATCTCACAGTATTTACCCTGCATGCACTGACTGGAGAGATGGGTTCAACAAGAGATAGAAGGCAATACTTAAATATATATGTAACTTCAGCTCAGATACCTTTCCTGCATTTGAGAACCATATTTTCAAAAGATTAAGAAATATTTTAAAGTATTTAATAGATTATTAAGTTTTAAAGCTAAGTCAATAACTAAACGCATTATTTCACCCTTACTCAGTACCTTCTGTCCTGTATTCAAGATCTCAGTCAAGGTCACCTCCATCTACTCATCCTTAGGAGTTTAGAAACCTTGTCAACCATATCCCCTAATAAAATTTGTCACTAGGTTTTATCTGTCTCCTATTCTGGAACCATGAAACAGTGTACCAGTGAGTTTTTTTGAGGCTCCATCTAGATCCATCTTTATCTCTTTCTTTTTCCAAGTTCATACTGTCTTTACCAATGCATCTCTCCTCCAAATTTCTTAACTTTCTAATCCATCTACCAAGTATTTCTCTATGAAAACTATTTGAGGGGCACCTGGGTGGCTCAGTGGGTTAAAGCCTCTGCCTTCAGCTCAGGTCATGATCTCAGGGTCCTGGGATCGAGCCCTGCATCGGGCTCTCTGCTCAGCGGTGACCCTGCTTCCCTCTCCCTCTCTCTCTCCCTGTCTGCCTCTCTGTCTACTTGTAATCTCTGTCTGTCAAATAAATAAATAAAATCTTAAAAAAAAAACTATTTGAAATGTGACAGTATTTAAAGTGATTAATACTTCCCCCTTAACTAGCATATAATGTCCGAGATCTTCTGTACTGTGCTACCTTAGTAAAAATATTTCTTCAGTTTTCCTTTTGAGCCTTCTCTCATTGCTCACCACTACCCTGGCTACATTCCAGTTAAACAGAACCCTTGCCTGTTTTTAGATGTGCTGCATGCTCTGTTGTCTCAATGTTTTTGAAAAATTCTGTTTCCTCCTTTTCAAATTCCTGTGCTCCTACGCAGTTTTCAAGATCTGGCCTAAATGCCCTCTTCTCATCTAGGAGTGTAATGGATTTGCTCAGGGAAAGTTCATCCATCTTCTATTGCATTGGGAGGATTTTATACCCACATTTATTAAAATATTTCATGAATTTTTTGTTTGTTTGTTTTAAAGATTTTATTTATTTGAAAGAGAGGGGACAGCGAGAGAGGGAACACAAGCAGGGGAAGTGGGAGAGGAAGAAGCAGGCTTCCTGCTGAGCAGGGAGACCGATGCTGTGGGGCTTGATCCCAGTACCCTGGGATCATGACCATAGCTGAAGGCAGACCCTTAACGACTGAGCCACCCAGGCGCCCCTCATGTATTGTTTTATATATTGATATTACATATATTGTATTATATCAGTATTATATATTGAGATATATAGGTCTCCTTTCATTATATTTTTATAATATTTGTGTTCTCAGCTTCTAGCAACTGCTCCACACATAGGAATTTCTTAGTTACCTAAACGAATTAGTACTGGTATGACATATCAAATAGAACTTGGTTCTATTATCTTGCACAGGGCTTAAGCCTAGTTGTATTTGTTTTCTCTTTTCTTCCTATGATGATACCATCTCATTCTACTGCTAATCTATAGCCATTTTATTTTTCATTAGAGCTTGGAACGCTATAATTACAGCTTAGTCTTTAAAAGGTACTAATCTGCATTTACTAATGATCTTCCTTAAAAATAATTCTATCATGTCTTAACTTTGACATGTAGGTTATATTATTATTTTATTTTATAAACATTGACATGGGAGTAGCATATCTTTAAAGCATTGTTTATGGTCATTTATGAATAAATCAGCTATTTTCATTATTACATATTCCTTCTAACATGACATATATGGAACTATATAATTTTAACATATTTGATATTCTAAAAATGAATCTGAAAAGAATATTTTACATCAAAGATTATACCTTCCTCACAAAGCTAAAAGTTAAAATAGCATTTACTCCTCAGTATTCTTAAATGCTTATTAAATGTCATGAACTGATACTTGCTTTCATAATGAAAGGGAAGATGTACAATAAAAAATAATTATGATGAGAGATAATGATGATTATAACCTTGAATAATGTTTATTTTATTTCAGGCGCTATTAACTCATTTAATACAATAAACTGTGAGTGATCTGTTTTGAGTTAGATTAGGAATTCATTATTTTAAGGGACAGCTAATATGGAAGAAACACTTTTATTCATTCTTTTATTCCTAGTGCCTGGAAAAACTTATTTTTCTTTTTTTTAAGATTTTATTTATTTATTTGACAGAGAGAGAGAGATTACAAGTAGGCAGAGAGGCCAGCAGAGGGAGAGGGGGAATCAGGCTCCCCACTGAGCAGAAAGACCAATGTGGGGCTTGACCCCAGGACTCTGAGATCATGACCTGAGCCGAAGGCAGAGGCTCAACCTACTGAGCCACCCAGGCGCCCCTGGAAAAAGTTCTTGCCTAATACCTAAGTCTCAATGAATAAATATGTTGGAAGTTTAAATTTAATTGTACTATATATGCTGTTTACCCAAGCTTTTGTACTGATAACCTGATGACTTGTTTCCTGTTAGAAATCAGTATGAATCATGGATAAAATCGTAAAAATCAACATAATGAACTTTTATGATTAATGGCTAACATAAATGTTTTATTCAACATATTTTTTAAAGTAAAAATACAGATTTGAGAAAAAATTCTGGAACATTTTACATACCCAGGATATATTTGTAGCTTTTAAAATCCTTAGCTTACATTACGTAGCTGTAAGTTTAGTTAACATGTAGTTAAATGACAGATGTAAAGATTTTAAGAATAAATATCTGTCTTTAGAATTGCTCTAATTGGGATGCCTCGGTGGCTCAGAGGGTTGGGGCTCTGCCTTCGGCTCAGGTCATGATCTCAGGGTCCTGGGATCAAGTCCCACGTCGGGCTCTCTGCTCAGCGGGGAGCCTGCTTCCTCCTCTCTCTCTGCCTGCTGCTCTGCCTACTTGTGATCTCTCTCTGTCCATGAATAAATAAAAATCTTTAAAAAAAAAAAAAAGAATTGCTCTAATTGTGCCTGTATTGGTGAGTGCTCTGTGGAGGTATGTTTAAACATGAAAGTGTTACCTTCTGTTCTTTAGGTTTGGAGACTACCTTCTGGATTCAGTTAAGAGTTTGGATAATTGTGTTTAGATGCTTTAACACCCAATTGATTATGCTACATTTTTTTGATCATGGTTGAAATGTAATTTTAATGCTTGGTTGGTGATTCTTTTTTGGAATGTTTTAAATGGATTTGCTGCTTAGGAGTGAATTACTTTTTTACACAGGTTGTCAGGATCTTCCAGGCAGGGAAGCACATGTTTTGATTATCATTATTATTATTATTTTAACAAAGAGGAAAGATAGAAGACAGAAACCCAGAGGTGATTAGAAAGCAAGACTTAAACTGAATTCAAAACATGAACTCTTATTTACTCCTGTAATTTTTGTGAAGATGTTTTGACTACTGCATCAATAAAACCAATCCTCAAATTTCTCTTATAACATGAAGTTTTCTTATTAAGATAGCTTTAACTACAACTTTAGTGTGCCACATTGTTTCCAAAGCATGTGTTTGGTGTCATTAACAATGTGAAAGGCTGTGGGAGGCAGTCCTTGAAAAATTTTGGTTGAAAAAAATCAAATAGTATCCTCAGTGTTCTCAATGCATTATTAGTTTAATTCTGTTAATGTAAATATTGCCCTCAAAGGGGAATTAAAAGATGCAAGATTTCTTAGACTCTCTTTTTGAAGATTATCACGAGAACATGTTTTGAGAAGCATTAGGCTAATTAATTCAATCTGGGAGTATATTCAGGGATCAGAAGGCATAATACCCATATTTATAGCAGCCTCACTAAGCATTGCTTTCAAGGGGATATTTGAAATTCACTTGAAGTAAAATGTTTGTGTTCTCATCCAAAGTCTCAGCTTCTTTCCTTTTCTGTTCTTTCTTTTTTTTTTTTTTTCTTCCCAGCTTCTTTTCCATTTTGTTTTGTTCTATTTCTAGCCACTGCTCTGGCTATAGTTATACAGTGCTCAGCTTCACTGATAATAATGAATTTTCTTTCTATAATTTATTTGATTTTCTTCCTTTTCTTTGCTTCCATGTAACATAAAGGAAAGGGTTTTTGGTTTGACCACTATATTACTTAAGTTTTGAATGAGGAAAATGATAATTAGGTTAAAAACAATTATTTAAATGACATAGAATTTATCTTCCTCATGCAAAAATATGAGTAGGTTACAGGGCCATTTTTGATGTTAATGGTGTTGGGTAATCTCTCTTATTCCTCCTTCCTTCTTATTCTTTCTCTGTGAATGATCTTGAGTCATGGTCCAAGATGGGTACTTTTACAATCACATCCATATTTCAACCACCAGGGGAGAGACAGCAGAGAAGGAAAAGGATAAACATTACTTCATGACATCGGAGTCATAAATACCTTTGGCTACAGAGTCTAATAGAGTGAAAGCAAGGCTTTGAAGTGTTGCCCCATTGAAATATGCGGTAGTATAGAAATTCCATCCAAAGTTATCATACTCTTGATGCCTAGTGAGAAAACTATTATTAAATACGTGGTTAGATGGGAAAAGGAAAATGAAGGGGCTCTTGGGTGGCTCAGTGGATTAAGTGCTGACCCTTAGTTTCAGCTCAGGTCATGATTTCAGGGTCCCAGGATCTAGTGCTGGCAGACTCTGCACTCAGCAGGGTATCTGCTTGGGATTTTCTTCCTCTGCCCCCTCCCACCTTGCATTCTCTCTCTCTCTCTCAAATAAAGATAAATAAATATATTTAAAAAAAAGAAAAAGGAAAATGAAAATGCTAAAATTAATTCTATCTAAAGAGAAGCCAATTCATAAAAATTACTCCACTTGTCAAAGTTAGCAATGATGCCTATATTTTCATGTTAATGGGTCAATTAAGTTTTTATCTGTCTTACTTGACATCTGTCTCTCAGTATCCTTTCCTTTCTTTTGTTTTCTCCATAACCTCTTAATTTGGGAATATTTCAAGGTTTTTTTCTTGGACCTCTTCTCTTCTACTTCCATTCAGTTCCTTAGTGATTTCTTCCTCTCTCATGCCTGTTAATATCACCAACACACAAAGGAAATAAAAAAAATCTCTCCCTGACCTCCTAACTCCCACATTCAACTGTTTGTTCCACTTCCACATTTGAAGGTCTGACAGATAGCTTTACCTTAACATGTACTTAACTGAACTCCCAACACCCCCCCCCCACCAAGAATCAGTTCATCTAATATTTTCCCATCTCAGTTGATCACAACCCATTCTTCCATCATACAGGAAAAAACATTACAATAATCTTCAATAACCATCTTTATCTCTTGCTCCTTATCCAGTCTGTCATTAGTTATTATTCAGTGTGTCTTAAAATATATATAGACTCTGACCCCTTCTTACCACCTCTGCAACCCTTTCAGATCAAGTCAATATTATGTCTTCTTTGCATTGTAACAGTGACTTCCTCAGTGATCTCCTCCTTCCACATTCACCCCCATATGTTATATTCAACATTGTAATAGAGAGATACTGAAGAACTGTAAGCCAGATCAAGTCCCTTCTTCACTATAAATTCTGCAGTGGCTCCCCATTTCATTCAGAATAAAAGTAAGTCCTTAAAATGGCCTACAAGCCTTTTTTTATCCTTGCCATTAATTCTCCTATCCTCTTTTTCACACCCTCCGCCCTATCTACATGAACTATTCTTGCCAGAGAGATTTTGCAGTGCCTGGTTCCTCAGCCTAACATGTTATTCATCTAGATTCCCATGCATCTAAATTTGTTTCCACCTCCAAGTGTCATGTTCTCAATTAGTCTTAACTGTTACCACTTGGTTTAAAATAGCAAAATTGCCAAATACTCTCACTCCTCCTTATTTTATTCTATTTAAAAAAAAAGTTTTCCCATTTGCATATTCTTAGCAGACTGTCTAAATTTACTTCTTTTAATTATTGTTTATTGTTTAATATTTGTCTTCCTCCAGTAGAATGCAAATCCTATA